AAGAGGTTGGAGATGAGGAGGAACTTCTTCCCTCTAAGGGTGGGGAGACCCTGGAGGTTTCCTGGAGAAGCTTTGGGTGATGGAAGTGTCCAAGGGCAGGTTGGATGGGGCTTGGAGCAGCCTGGGCTGCTGGGAGGTGTCCCTGCCCATGGTGGGGGTTGGATCTAGATGATCTTTGAGGTCCCTCCAACCCAAACCATCCCATGGTTCCATTAAGTTCTTCCATCTTGAGGGTGCAGAGACCCTGGAAGAGGTTTCCTGGAGAACTTGTGGGTGATGGAAGTGTCCAAGGGCAGGTTGGATGGGACAACCTGGGCTGGTGGGAGGTCACCCTGCCCATCCAGAGGGTTGGGACTGGGTGGTCTTCAGATCATGGGATGGTTTGGATTGGGACCTTGGAGACCACCTGGATGATTCTTAAGGTGGCTCCTCCATCCCTGGCAGTGTCCAAGGGCAGGTTGGATGGGGCTTGGAGCAACCTGGGCTGCTGGGAGGTGTCCCTACCCATGGTGGGGGTTGGATCTAGATGGTCTTGAAATATATATAAAACACTAGAGGAGTTTCCATCTTTCAGCTTTATCCATTTACCCTTAAAAAACAGCAACAAAGACAAACGAGACATTTATGATCTGCACTTTGATGTCCAGTCCCTCTATCATCACCCTACTTTTGAGCTAAGTCTCCAGCTGAATGTTCACCTGAAGCCATTTCTTACCAAAAAAACAAACCAAAAAAAAACCAAAACCGACACCAAAAAGAAAACAAATTAAAAGGGTTAATTTTTTAATGGAGATGATAAAAACTCTTCCATGCAGAAAGATCACCTGTTCATATTTCTCTAGCTCAGAGTGGTAAATCTGTCGGATCTGTGACAGCTTGGCCCTGTAGTCAGAGTGTTCAATGCTATTGTCATTTGGACAGCCACCTGATGTTGCTGCTACAGCCATTGGTCCTCCTCCTCTTCCTCTTTTCTCCGGCCCGGAGACACCCTCGGCCAGCAACATGTTATCTAGTCTCATTAGTTGAGCATCTGGGGGATCTTCTTCCTGAATACCACGAATACTTAACACTGGATAAATATAAAGAAGGAATCGAGAGGTTATTTCTGAAGTGGGAAAGAGAATCTGCTTCCATTCTGGCAAAGTGTTTCAAAATCCATCAGAGGTTTTAGCAGGTCTGGAGTTCAAGGAGAAAAAAAAGTATTTAAGTGACAGGACAAGGCGTAATGGGCACAAGCTGAAGGTCAGGAGGTGCCACTTCTCCATGAGGAGGAAGTTGTTTCCTGGGAGGGTGGCAGAGCCCTGGGCCAGGCTGCCCAGAGAGGCTGTGGAGTCTCCTGCTCTGGAGACATTCCCAGCCCAGCTGGTTCCTGTGGGATCTGCTGGAGGTGACCCTGCTCTCCAGGGGGGTGGATTGATGATCTCCAGAGCTCCCTGCCCACCCCACCACTCTGTGTCTCTCCCTCTGTGTTCCCCAAGGTGTGTCCTTCTGTCCCACCAGCTGCCACTTGCCTGGGACAACCCTCTTGGGGTTGGTGGGACCGTTGAGGGGCAGGTTGAGGGAGCTGGGGCTGTTGAGCTGGAGAGGAGGAGCCTGAGGGGGGGTGGGATCTCCAGGGGGGTTGTCACCTTCTCCCTCTCCCCCACCCCCAGACCACGGTCCCTCCCGCGGGGCTGAACTTCAACCGCTTCACCGAGGACTCGCTCCTGCGTCACGCCCAGTTCGTGGTGGAGCAGGTGGAGAGCTATGATGAGGCTGGAGACAGTGATGAACCCCCCGTCCTCATCACCCCCTGCATGAGGGACCTGATCAAGTTGGCCGGGGTCACCCTGGGGAAGAGGTGAGACCCTTCTCCTCGCTCCTCAGGGGACACTTGGCTTTGCAGCAGCTCAGGAGGAGCTTGGTGGGTTGGTTCCCCATCCTTGGCTGGTTCCCCATCCATGGTTCCCCATCCTTGGTTGGTTCCCCATCCATGGTTGGTTCCCCATCCATGGTTGGTTCCCCATCCTTGGCTGGTTCCCCATCCATGGTTCCCCATCCTTGGTTGGTTCCCCATCCATGGTTGGTTCCCCATCCATGGTTGGTTCCCCATCCTTGGCTGGTTCCCCATCCTTGGTTGGTTCCCCATCCTTGGTTCTTCATCCCCATCCTTGGTTCCTCATCCCCATCCTTGGTTGGTTCCCCATCCTTGGTTCCTCATCCCCATCCTTGGTTGGTTCCCCATCCTTGGTTCCTCATCCCCATCCTTGGTTGGTTCCCCATCCTTGGTTCCTCATCCCCATCCTTGGTTCCCCATCCCCATCTTTGGTTCCCCATCCCCAAAGTTGGGTCCCCATCCTTGGTTCTTAATCCCTATGGTTGATTTCCCCATGGTTGGTTCTTCATCCCCATGGTTGGTTCCCCCTCCTTGATTCGTTCCCCATCTTTGGTTCCTCATCCCCATCCCCATCCTTGGTTCCTCATCCCCATCTTTGGGTCCCCATCCCCAAAGTTGGGTCCCCATCCTTGGTTCTTAATCCCTATGGTTGATTTCCCCATGGTTGGTTCTTCATCCCCATGGTTGGTTCCCCAGCCTTGGTTGGTTCCTCATCCTTAGTTCCCCATCCTTGGTTGGTTCCTCATCCACGGTTCCTCATCCCCATCTTTGGGTCCCCATCCCCATCTTTGGGTCCCCATCCTTGGTTGATTCCTCATCCTTGGTTCTCCATCCCCATCTTTGGTTCCTCATCCCCATGGTTGGTTCCTCAGCTGCCCAGTGGAGAAGGACCTGGGGGTCCTGGCTGAACATAAGCCAGGGTGTCCAGATGGCCAAGAAGCATCATGGCTTGTGTCCATGAGAGGTGTCCAGAGAAGGGCAATGGAGCTGGGGAAGGGGCTGGAGAACATGGAGAAGGGGCTGGGGGACATGGAGAAGGGGCTGGACCTTCTCCTCGCTCCTCAGGGGACACTTGGCTTTGCAGCAGCTCAGGAGGAGCTTGGTGGGTTGGTTCCCCATCCTTGGCTGGTTCCCCATCCATGGTTCCCCATCCTTGGTTGGTTCCCCATCCATGGTTGGTTCCCCATCCTTGGCTGGTTCCCCATCCATGGTTCCCCATCCTTGGTTGGTTCCCCATCCATGGTTGGTTCCCCATCCTTGGCTGGTTCCCCATCCATGGTTCCCCATCCTTGGTTGGTTCCCCATCCATGGTTGGTTCCCCATCCTTGGCTGGTTCCCCATCCTTGGTTGGTTCCCCATCCTTGGTTCTTCATCCCCATCCTTGGTTCCTCATCCCCATCCTTGGTTGGTTCCCCATCCTTGGTTCTTCATCCCCATCCTTGGTTCCTCATCCCCATCCTTGGTTGGTTCCCCATCCTTGGTTCTTCATCCCCATCCTTGGTTCCTCATCCCCATCCTTGGTTCCCCATCCCCATCTTTGGTTCCCCATCCCCAAAGTTGGGTCCTCATCCTTGGTTCTTCATCCTTGTGGTTGGTTTCCCCATGGTTGGTTCTTCATCCCCATGGTTGGTTCCCCCTCCTTGATTCGTTCCCCATCTTTGGTTCCTCATCCCCATCCCCATCCTTGGTTCCTCATCCCCATCTTTGGGTCCCCATCCCCAAAGTTGGGTCCCCATCCTTGGTTCTTAATCCCTATGGTTGATTTCCCCATGGTTGGTTCTTCATCCCCATGGTTGGTTCCCCAGCCTTGGTTGGTTCCTCATCCTTAGTTCCCCATCCTTGGTTGGTTCCTCATCCACGGTTCCTCATCCCCATCTTTGGGTCCCCATCCCCATCTTTGGGTCCCCATCCTTGGTTGATTCCTCATCCTTGGTTCTCCATCCCCATCTTTGGTTCCTCATCCCCATGGTTGGTTCCTCAGCTGCCCAGTGGAGAAGGAGCTGGGGGTCCTGGCTGAACATGAGCCAGGGTGTGCCCAGATGGCCAAGAAACATCATGGCTTGTGTCCATGAGAGTGTCCAGAGAAGGGCAATGGAGCTGGGGGAGGGGGCGGGGAACATGGGGAAGGGGCTGGAGGACATGGAGAAGGGGCTGGAGGACATGGAGAAGGGGCTGGAGGACATGGAGAAGGGGCTGGAGAACATGGAGAAGGGGCTGGATGACAAGAAGAAGGGGCTGAAGAACTTCCAAGGAGCAGCTGAGGGACCTGGGGGTGTTGGGTCAATGGTTGAACTTGCTCTTGGAGATCTTTTCCAACCTTCATGATTTCTGGAGGAACATTCTCCAAAGTGGGAACATCCTCCATTTTGGAGGGAGGAGAGGACCTGGGTTGGGTCCCCAGAGCCTGGCTCTGCTCTTTGCCCTTTGGAACACCCCATGGGACATTTCCTGCCTTAGCTGTTATGGAATCCCACCATGTTCTTCAGCTCTTGGGTTGTCCCCAGGAGAGCTCTGTCCCCTTTGAGGACCATCCCGAAGGGGCGGGTTGTCCCCCTTTCTCACCCCTCTTTCCCCCTTCAGGAGAGCTGTCAGGAGACAAGCCATCCGTCACCCAACCAGGATAGACAAGGACAAAGGTCCCACCAAAGCCACCACCACCAAGCTGGTCTACCTCATCTTTGACACCTTCTTCTCAGAGCAGATTGAGAAGGATGAGAGGGAGGAGGACAAGGAGAACGCCATGAAACGCCGACGCTGCGGCGTCTGCGAGGTGACCAGGGGGGTGACACGCTCCTTGGTGGCCCTCAGGTCACCTTCAGCCACCCCAAACCATCCCTTCTCAACCCTACCCGAGCTTTTCTGAGGTTGCTCTGTCACCTTGGAGGTCCTGGAGGTCCAGCTTTGGTGTCTTCTTCTGCTCCAGGTCTGCCAACAGCCCGAGTGCGGGAAGTGCAAAGCCTGTCAGAACATGGTGAAGTTTGGTGGCAGTGGCAAGAGCAAACAGGCTTGTCTTCAGAGGAGGTGGGTGTCCCCCCCCCAAAAAAAGGTCCTCCTCAACCTCCAGAGAGAGGGAAGAAGCAGTGACGTGGGTCCCACCACCCACCAGGTGTCCCAACTTGGCTGTGCGAGAAGCTGACGAGGACGAGGAGGTGGACGACAACATCCCCGAGATGCCTTCTCCCAAGAAGATGCTGCAGGGCAGGAAGAAGAAGCAGAACAAGAGTCGGATCTCCTGGGTGGGAGAACCCATCAAGGTGGGAGAGGTTGTTGGTTTGGGTGGTGGGTTGATGATGATGGTGGTGGTGGCCAAGGTTGATGTTCTCCAACTTCTTCTGCAGAGCGACGGGAAGAAGGACTTTTACCAAAGGGTCTGCATCGACTCTGAGACCTTGGAGGTGGGAGATTGTGTCTCTGTAAGCCCTGATGATCCCACCAAGCCCCTCTACTTGGCCAGGTGGGTTGTCCACCCCTTCCTGGTTGTCCAAACCCCCCAAACTCCCTTGGAGAAGCTCTAGGAAAGCTTGGGGAGCAGCTCAACCTTCTCCTGGTGGCCCCGTCACTTTGGTTCCTCACTCCTCAGGGTGACAGCCATGTGGGAGGACACCAGTGGGCAGATGTTCCACGCTCATTGGTTCTGCCCCGGGTCAGACACGGTGTTGGGGGCCACCTCAGACCCTCTGGAGCTCTTCTTGGTGGACGAATGTGAGGACATGCAACTCTCCTACATCCACGGCAAAGTCAACGTCATCTACAAGGCGCCATCAGAGAACTGGTCCATGGAGGTGGGGACCACCCTAGAGGTGGCCCAAGACCCAAGGTGGGGGGAGAGGTGGGCAACACCACCAAGGCCTTGCCCAACCCCTTTCTCCTAGCAGGGTGGGCTGGACATGGAGATCAAGATGGTGGAAGATGATGGGAGGACCTACTTCTACCAGATGTGGTACGACCAGGAGTACGCTCGCTTCGAGACCCCACCCAAAACTCAACCCACAGAAGACAACAAATACAAGTGAGGAGGACTTGGGGTCTCAGCATGGGCAGCAGGACCTTCTCAGGTTCCTGGTCCACCACGTTCTCTTGACCTCTTGGTCCTCCCTTTCCCACAGGTTCTGCATGAGCTGCACGAGGTTGGACGAGGTGAGACAAAAGGAGATCCCCAAAGTGGCTGAACCTCTGGAGGAAGGAGATGGGAAGATGTTCTATGGTGTGGCCACCAAGAATGGGGTCCAGTACAGAGTGGGGGATGGAGTCTACCTCCTGCCAGAGGCCTTCTCCTTCAGGTTGGTGCTTTGGAAGAGGCTGGAGGCACTTCTCAGGGTGCTTTTGGGTCAAGCTTTTGGGTTGCAGAAGACATCTGCCCCATGAGGAGGAACTTCTGGACCAGGAGGGTGGCAGAGCCCTGGGCCAGGCTGCCCAGAGAGGCTGTGGAGTCTCCTGCTCTGGAGACATTCCCAGCCCAGCTGGTTCCTGTGGGATCTGCTGGAGGTGACCCTGCTCTCCAGGGGGTGGCCCTGGGTGGTCTCCAGAGCTCCCTGCCCACCACTTTGTGATGGATCCAGTGAGATGGTGCTGAGGGACAGGACTTGGTTGGTCCAGTTGGGTTTGATGGTTGGACTTGATGATCTCCAAGGTCTTTCCCAACCCAAAGACATCCATGAGTCCATTGGTCCCCATTACTGGAGGTGCCCAAAGCCCTGGAGATGGTGTTGAGGGACCTGGTTTGGTTGCTCAAGTTGGGTTGGATGGTTAGACCTGATGATTCAAGGTCTTTCCCAACTGGACTGAGTCCATGAAGGTCCTCAGATGGTTGGACCTGATGATCTCCAAGGTCTTTTCCAACCCATGAGCCCACAACTCCATGAATCTCCATCCCTGGAGATGCCCAAAGTCCTGGTGATGGTTCTGAGGGACACACCATGATGGGTTGAGTTGGGTTCAACCCAAAACCCCCCTCAACCTCGACCACCGAGTTGGGTTGGATGGTTGGACCTGATGATCTTCAAGGTCTTTCCCAACACAACCAAGTCTATGAGTCCATTGATCCCCATCCCTGGAGATGCCCAAAGCCTTGGAGATGGTTCTGAGGGACACACCATGATGGGTTGAGTTGACTTCAACCCAAAACCCCCCTCAACCTCGACCTTGTGCCACCTCCTTTGGGTGCCCTTGCTTGAGCAGCAGGTTGGACTTGGACGTTCTCCAGAGGTTCCTTCCCCACCCCTTGTCCTCTCTCCAGTGTGAAACCAGCCAGCCCAGCCAAACGTCCCAAGAAGGAAGCTGTGGATGAGGAGCTCCACCCTGAGCACTACAGGAAGTACTCAGAGTACATCAAGGGCAGCAACTTGGATGCTCCTGACCCATTCCGGGTGGGAAGGATCAAGGAGATCTTCTGCCACCTCCGGGGCAACGGGAAACCCAACGAGGCCGACATCAAACTGAGGATCTGGAAGTTCTACAGGTGAAGGGAAACGTCTGGGGGAAGGGGTGGGAGGAGGATCTCAAAGGGGTTTTGGGGTTGGGAAGAGGTTGGAGGTATCAGGTTCAGGTTGGGTTGGAAGAGGAGGGGTTCGTGGGTTGGGGAATGGAGGTGATAGTGGGATGGGTTGGGTTGGAAGGGACCTTGAAGATCACCTGGATCATCTTCAAGGTGGAAGCTCCATCCCTGGAAGTGTCCAAGGGCAGGTTGGAGAAACCTGGGCTGCTGGGGGGTGTCCCTGCCCATGGTGGGGTTGGATCTAGATGATCTTTGAGGTCCCACCAACCCAAACCATCCCATGATCCCATTAAGTTCTTCCCTCTGAGGGTGGGGAGACCCTGGAAGAGGCTTCTCAGAGAAGTTGTGGGTGATGGAAGTGTCCAAGGGCAGGTTGGGTGGGACAACCTGGGCTGCTGGGAGATGGCCCTGCCCATCCAGAGAGGTGGGTCTGGGTGGTCTTTAGATCATGGGATGGTTTGGATTAGAAGGGACCTTGAAGACCAACTGGATGTTCCACTAGATGGTCTTCAGGTGGTTCCTTCATCCCTGGAAGTGTCCAAGGGCAGGTTGGAGCCACCTGGGCTGCTGGGAGGTGGCCCTGCCCATGGTGGGGTTGGATCTAGATGCTCTTTGAGATCCCACCAACCCAACCCATGATTCTGGTGCTTCACCCATGGCAACCAGAAGAACTAAACCCCTTCTTGGGGCCAACCAAGAGTTGTTCTGGTCTCAAGATCTTCCCCAAACCCACTTCCTTGGATCCCAAAGTGTTTCTTGGGGTTGTCCCCACAGACCTGAGAACACCCACAAGTCCATGAAGGCCAGTTACCACGCAGACATCAACCTCCTCTACTGGAGTGATGAGGAGACCACCGTGGACTTCCGAGCCGTGCAGGGACGTTGCACCGTGGTCTATGGGGAGGACCTGACTGAGACCATCCAGGACTACTCAGCTGGGGGCCTGGATCGATTCTACTTCTTGGAGGTGATGGTGGAGGGGGCCAAAAAACCACCCCCCCAAGGTTCAAGAGGTTCTGGTGGTGTCCACCCTTGGGGGGGAGGAGGTTCCATGGGGTGTCCTGCTTTCTCTGGTGGGCAGAGGGAGGGTTTGTTGGGAATCTCCTGGGGGTTAAGATGATGGTGGGATGGGTTGGGTTGGTGGGATCTCATAGATCATCTAGATCCAACCCCCACCATGGGCAGGGCCACCTCCCAACAGCCCAGGCTGCTCCAAGCCCCATCCAACCTGCCCTTGGACACTTCCAGGGATGGAGGAACCACCTTGAAGACCATCTAGGGGAACATCTAGATGGTCCTCAAAAGGTCCTTTCCAATCCAAACCATTCCATGATCTAAAGACCACCCAGACCCACCCCTCTGCATGAGCAGGGCCACCTCCCAGCAGCTCAGGTTGCTCCAAGCCCCATCCAACCTGCCCTTGGACACTTCCAGGGATGGAGGAACCACCTTGAAGACCATCTAGTGGAACATCCAGTTGGTCTTCAAGGTCCTTTCCAATCCAAACCATCCCATGATCTGAAGATCATCCAGTCCCACCCATTGTCATGGACAGGGACACCTCCCAGCAGCCCAGGTTGCTCCAACCTCCCCTTGGACACTTCCAGGGATAGAGGAACCACCTTGAGGATCATCCAGGTGGTCTTCAAGGTCCCTTCCAACCCAAACCATCCCATGATCTAAAGACCAACCAGTCCCAACCCTCTTACCTGAGCAGGGACAACTTCCTGGAGAAGCTGTGGATAATGGGAATTGTCCTACCAGGGGTTTTGTAGCTCCAAGGGGATGTTGGAAGTTCCTTGGATGTTCCTGAGCTGAAAAGACTCTTCCATGTTCCTCCACCCCAGGCCTACAACGCCAAGACCAAGAGCTTTGAGGATCCTCCCAACCATGCTCGGAGCTCTGGGAAGAAAGGGAAGGGGAAAGGGAAAGGTGGGTCTTCTCCAGGGGATGGTCTTCTCCATCCCTTGGGTGGGAAGGGATCTCCAGGAGGTGGGATCATGGAATTGCTATGGTTGGGAAAGACCTCCAAGGTCATCAAGTACATGGATCCAACCTCTCCAGGTCCCTCAGCCCCTGGATCCAACCTCTCCAGGTCCCTCAGCCCCTGGATCCAACCTCTCCAGGTCCCTCAGCCCCTGGATCCAACCTCTCCAGGTCCCTCAGCCCCTGGATCCAACCTCTCCAGGTCCCTCAGCCCCTGGATCCAACCTCTCCAGGTCCCTCAGCCCCTGGATCCAACCTCTCCAGGTCCCTCAGCCCCTGGATCCAACCTCTCCAGGTCCCTCAACCCATGGATCCAGGTCCCTCAACCCATGGATCCAACTTCTCCAGGTCCCTCAACCCATGGCTCCAGGTCCCTCAACCCATGAATCCAACCAGTCCAGGTCCCTGAGAAGGAGGAGAAGAAGGTGCCTTCCAAGGACCAGGAGAAGGGGAATGACCTTGGGGTTCCACTTGCAGGGAAGGGCAAAGGGAAGTCCTCGATGAGCTGCGAGCAGAGTGAGCAGGAGCCCCCTGAGCTGAAGCTCCCCAAGCTGAGAACCTTGGATGTCTTCTCTGGCTGTGGAGGGTTGTCCGAGGGCTTCCACCAGGCAGGTGAGAGGGGCTGGGGACAGGGATGGGTCAGTGGGTTCCTCTGAGCTGGATGTTGTCACAGAGTGGTGGTAATGAAGCTCTGGAGACCCCAGGGCTCTGCCACCCTCATGGTCAAGAAGTTCTTCCTCATCTTGAGGTGGAACTTCCTGGGCTCTAGTGGGTGCCCATGGCCCCTTGTCCTGGCCCTGGGCACTGCTGAGAAGAGCCTGGTCCCCCCTCCTGCCCCCCTGGAGATCTGGAGCAGCCTCGAGGAGACC